AAACATACAGTCTATCCCAACATCCCTCCATCCTCTTGTAATGCAACCCAAGATCCAAGTAACCCTCTGCCAACACCACACCACAGTAGGAGCAGCGTGATTTCTTCAGTAACCCGTTCACCTTAGCCCACCTCAAAACCACCGATGTCCACGTTGCCAGGTTCAGCTCATTCTACCGCAAATATTGGGAGTGCCAAAATCGATTGTGACAGGTTCGTAGACACCAAGGACATGTTTCGAAGTGTTCCGTAAAGGTGGTGCATTTCTTTATGGCTGTAGCAGCGATGGCAGTACTACAACAGGGGCAATCGCACCGTCGCTGGTTGGGCAAAAAGAACCACTTCTTCGGTAGTGTCACCTCGTCAGGCAAAATGTAGCCACTACCATCATGTCTCTTCTCACACTGAGTGCAGCTCATAGGGTCTTCTATCAACACCATCCCCCTATCCCTTTCCACCACCAGTGTGCTGTCGAAGAGATTACCTACCACAACCAGCTCCCTATCAATTTGTTTGATATGGCGAGGGACCTCCAGGCCCAGCCACCAATATTCCGTCCACCAGCACTTCCATCTCGGGACTGCCGAATCTTTATACAAGTCTTCATCAGCAGGTCATCCCTTAGCCTAGTGGGGGCACTTAGTCCATTGATGTCAGTCTTCTTTCCCATCACAGCTATCATAGCCAACCATGCCTATCCCACTGCAGATCCTCATCAGAACATAGGAATCCATCTGCATTAGGCCTCGGAGGTGCTGAGGCACCTTCGGTTCTCACGCATAGTATCTGTATCCTTCTCCAGCATGCCAAGCCTCCCATTCCTCCTTTCAAAGCTCCCGAGCTAGAGCTGCATAGCCAACCCCAAAGCTAACCCCTTCCCAACGGAGAGGGTGTAAGGGGCGTCCGATTCATGCCTTGGCCTTCAAGTCGACCGTCTCGTTGCCATCAATGCCCATGTGGCCGGGCACCCAGCTGAAACTAACGTGTGAGAATGTATTCAACAGGGGTACCATTACTTCCCACAACTCAGCTGAGTTACCATCTGAAAACATGTTATCAACCATGATCAGGGCCAGTACGCAGTCTAAAAACACATGAACCGAGTGTCTCTTAGCCATATCCTGAGCATGTTGGAGGGCACACACAATGGCAAACAGCTCACATTCTACAATACTTTAGGCTGGGGGAACCAAGCACCCGTCAACATGGGTCATGGCCCCTTTCTCAAACATCGCCCAGGCTACACTCGCCTCTTCCAAGCACTTAGACCCATCCGTGTATATACCCACATTCAAAGATGTACAGAGGTCTTTATACAACACTCGGTGGCATGCAGCCATTACCGCCTTGCCTTTCCCAATCAAGACTGATGGGTGACAGGTGAGCTCCTTGTCCAAACTCTGCCGATGTGCCACTATGCCTTCCTCCCTATACTGTAGTCGTATTTCCCCGAACCATGGATGCTGGTCACAGTACCGGTAATTGATGAACCGACTATAACACCTCCGTTGCAGATACCTTCCCTGAATAGCAACAGGTGGCGTTCTGAACTCGGCTAACAGTATGTTGTTTGCCAACCTCATAGGCGTTTGAAACACTGATCGGAGGCAGTCGTTAACGTGGACCTGAATCTGCTTCACATACAACGTGTGGTCGATTACAAACTCAAGTCCATAGTAGACGGTTGGGAGGTATGCTGCTTGTACCAAGCGGTAAGTTTCCCATGCCCCTAGTCCACCAACACTTCCAAACCTCCTCCCCAACACCGAAATCCTTCTCCTAACACCTAACCCCCTTTCCAACCAATACTTTACATGAGAGGAAAAATTATGAAATACATTAAACCTATACCTGAGAACCCGTAAGTCCTCTGAAGGCATCACCACTTCTCCTAACAAGTCCATTTCCCCCCATGCCTTATCTTCAAACCCAATCCATTGAGTCTTTAGGATACTGAACTCCATTCCCCTAGCCCTGGCTATGCGGTCACAGTCTGCAAATATCTCTCCCGCATGGTATTGAGCTGCTGCACAGGACTCCGCCACTACCATAATGACCCCCTCATCCATGTACGAGATTACCAACTGATATACACTGGGAGAGTATCGCATGCGTGGCCTGAATATATCTGCCACATACATACCAAAAAGGAACGGGAAAAGGGATAAGTCCTGAGGCACTCTCTTACTGACATAGTAGGGCTTAGAGATACACCCGTTGAAGCAAAACCGTACCAACCGACAGGAAGCCCATCGACGGATCCATTGGCAAAGGTATCCGGAGCACCCCTTAGCCACCAGCAAGTCTGACAGGAGATCGATATCAATGTTATCAAACCCTCCTTCAACATCCATTGACAGGATCAATCTTTTGTAGCCCTCATTATGCCGCAAGAACTCAAAGATCACTGCCATGGCATCATGAACCCCCCTCTTCCATCGAGACCCGAACTGTGTTTTTCCCAGATCCCGGCAGGTGGCTAGTCTCAGCAGGGCCACTCACTCCGCGACCTTTGCCAGAGTTGGAAGGAGATGTATCATCCTCCATGATTTCATGACATCATACCGGGGTTTGTCCAGCTTGAGTATGAGCACCACCTCAGCCTTGTGCCAGTCTGGAATATCGTGCCGTAATCCGTAGTCCACCATGCGCCTCAATGTTGTCGTATCTCTTCGTTTCCAAAAACGTAGGAAGGGATAGCCAATATCATCCTCACCTGGACTTGTATTTGTAGGGGACCTAGCAAGGGCAATTTCCATCTTTTGAGCACTGTCCATATTGATCTCAGAGTCTTCCCAGGAAGTGGGGTCAACAGGGGACAACTGCTGTGCAATCAGGTCACTAATGTCTGAATGTGTAGTAGCATAGGACCCATCTGGTCGTACCATGGAGGGAAGGGTCCGCTAAGCTTCCAACTTCCGTGCCAACCTAAATATGTCTGGGTCTTGGCTCTCGGCTATCTTTTCCCTGACATATTCGAACCTAGCCCTTAGCAGGCATGCTCGGTACACACATCGGGCCAATTTGTAGTCCTCTGTCTGCTCTACCTTACATTTGGAGTATCAACGTAGCTGGGCCACATCCAACCTCATCCTGTCCAACTCCAGTGTTCACCACTCGTACTGACCTCTGCCAACGGAGGCCCGTGGGAGTGTATCCACTACTTGTCTCACTCCTTTCTATAACTTCCCATCTTATTCCCCTCGCAGGGTATCTAACTGCTTCCCAACCTTTTCCCACGCTACCTTCTTCCAGGCCGCCCTCCTGCGCATACTGTTATCAGGAAGGTTGACTGTCAACTTCAGGGCTTGAGCACTGTGTTCGCAGCCAGTGGCATCCAGGTATCAATGCCTGACATACGGTGCTCTGTGCTGGCAGAGGTCAATTCTGGACACGTCCCGAAAGGTAGGTACTATCAGGGGAACCATGTTCATATCGCGTGTTGGGACTATGAACCACTGTTTCAGCCATCATCCGCCGTATTATTGTGGTCCGCATTGGGGTCCCAATCCGGGTGTCTGGCATTAAAGTTACCAAACACGATATCTAGCTCTCCAAGTTCGTCCAACCAACTAACAAAATGGTCCTTAGTATACCCAGGTCGGAAGTAAAACCTAGCGAGAACCTTTTTTGCCTTTTTCTCCCAGTAGCCCACACTACCACTGCTCTCCCCATGTCCCACCATTTCAAACATCCCACAAATATGGGACCGAACAAACACCTCAATACCCAACTTTTTAACAAAAGAAAACAAATCCCACCTATCAACATTCATAGGTACATGCTGTCCCTCCAGGTCAACTGGCGGTTCAATAATCAAAACCAAATCAACAAAAGAAAACAAATCAAAGGCCAGCACCCAATTCCGACTGCTCCTCCCCATGTTTAATGTCATTGTCGTAATAAGCATTAAAAGGAGGCCTCAACTGATCCACTCGGGCCACAAGGGCTAGAGGCATAGGGGGCACCACTATCCTGGTCCCAAGCGGTCTAAAGGGTATCCTCCCAGTGGGGCTTGGTGGTGGCTGTGGTCTTTAAAATTCCACGTACCGGGGAGGGAGAGGGGGAGGGATGTTCCGATTCCTTACCCTTAGCCTTGACTGACTTCGGGCGGGGGCCTTCATCTTCCTCGTCACTACTGATCTCAACTAGTCATAGTGTTGGAAATCTTCCACAGCTGCGAAGTTGTCTCTGGGCCCTCCTTGTCTGACTTCCCTGGTGTCCCCGTTTCTTGGCAGGTTCTGTTGGCGGGGCCGCCTCTTGGTTTTGACTCGACGAAGATGGAGTTGGGGGTGACGTCCTGACTCCTGGGTACTGCTCGTATCTAGTGAAATAGTCTATCCAGTCACAAAGCCAACATTGTCTCCTATTATGTCCACAGGCTTGGTCCACACCTCCCGGGCATCCAAGCTTGCTGCACATATATTCCCGGGAGAAGTGCACTCCAAAAGAAAATCGACAGTGGGATGGGTGGCCACACATGGCCTCAAAGTTGCCAGTCTCCAGGCACTTACCACAAACCCTCAAGGGCCTGTGTTCTTCAAATACCCAAACATTGCGGGCTCCTCCTCTCAACCAAATCTTTCCCTCGGCCAGCCTTTTCCAAATGGCCTCGTTTCTTTCGACCACAAAACGGATACCACATGTCGTAGCATTAGCCTGCCTCATGGCATGAATGAATCCCATAATATCTGGCCTAGACACTATTACTACACCAGTGTTGGATTGCTCCAGGTCAGTGCAGAGGCCATCAAAAGCTGCGCCTCTGGTCCATCCCTCAACTCTCTATATTGAGCCCCATCCTGTGTCAGCAAGCGGGACACCAGAAACAAAGATGTTCACCTTCTCCAAGTTCCTTTAAAACTCGAACTCCAGTAGCGACAATTCTCTGAGTAAGTCAAGCCTAGCCTTGTCGAGCTGGTTGCCTAATTTCATAACAGAGTGCCCTGCCATGGTCAAAAAGATACAATCAATCTCAGGCCTGAGGTGCCCAGCACAGATATATAGGGTACTGCCTCGAATCTTTCCCTGG